TATGAAGAAAAGGTACTAAAATAACTTCCTAATTTACAGATATCTATTAATTATCGAGCACACATGCAGTCAGCATACCACGCTTGCGACGATGATGCTTTCCTTCTAATCAACTCAGTCTACAAGAAGGTTTTTAGTAGCCTCTAAGCTTTAAATAAACCCAGAATAAGTAACTAATTGATTTAATGTTGTATTTTAAGTATAAATGAATAGATTGGGAGACAAAAAAGAAACTAAATCTTTTCCAGAATTGTTAGATGTGTTTGCACAGTGGTAAGACTTGCTGTTTTAATATACAGCTTTATATATATAGTGGTAAGACCCGCCTAACGCTAGAAGGCGCTGAGAGCGCCATTGAGAGTGTGCTGAGATTCGATGCAATTGCTCGATGGAAGGTATGACGCAGTTGTGAGATTCTGAGATTGAGATATTTATATTTAATTAAATCAATTTATATTTTATTGATTGGTGATTATTGATTTTGATTTATTGATATGATATTGATATGTTTTGCTGAACCACCACACTTTCGACAAACTTGTATTACCACTGAATCTCAAAACCACCGATGCGCATTTGGTGCATCTACGACAAGAACCAGGTAAGAGAATCTTTATTGAATTATTGAAACTGAATTATATCTGGATAGAAATTAAATATGGTTGAAAATCTGCCAAAGTTGAAGAAGAAACGCAGTTCCGTGCGTTCGATGTTGACGAAATTAATTAACAAAATAGAAGTTGCTATCAACAACGAAAACGAAACAGTTGATCAGTTGGAAGCATTTTTGGAACAATTAATCGGAAAAGAAACTGATTTAAATTCTTTAAATGATGAAATTGAAAATCTTTTGAGCGATGAGACAATATCTGAAGATATAGAAGCTTCAGAAGAAATAAAAGAAAAATTAAATTTTGGAAATCGAAAATTCATTTTAAAATAAAGAAATTGAATTCTGATTCTATCCAAGTTGATACAGTTTCAAAAAACATTCAGTTGATTAATAATGAAACTGAAAATATAAATATAAAATTGCCTAAATTACATATTAGTAAATATTATGGTAATTATTCTGGTTGGTTAGATTTTTACAATTTATTTGAAAACTCTGTTCATAATAATCCTAAATTAAGTAAAGTTGATAAATTTAATTATTTGAAATCCTATCTCGGGGGTAACGCGGCAGCATGTATTAGTGGATTTGTTTTAAGTGATGAAAATTATGATAAAGCACTTGATTTATTGAAAGAAAGGTTCGGAAATAAAAATATTTTGATTAACACTCATTTGAATGTTTTGCTGAATTTAAACCCGGTTAAAAATCCTAACGATGTTATAAGTTTACGAAATTTATATGATAACGCGGAAACGCAGATCAGAAGCTTAGATTCTTTAGGAATTACAGGTGAATCATATGCAAATCTATTGACACCAATTTTAATGAAATTAATCCCTTCAGAATTCGTTTTAGAATTTAATCGCATTCAAGGCGACAAACAATTTTACTTAAAAACTCTTTTGAAATTCATTAATAAAGAAATTCGAAGCCGCGAGAGATCCTTTCCAATAAATAATTATAAATCATCGAATCAACGAGTGCACTTATGTACCTCGCAAGAGAAAATAAAAAATAAAAATTCTACTTCCGTTAGACATAACTCTTCAAGACTTCTGCATAAGAGGGAGAATTCTTTCCCCTCCCCACACACGCATGAATTCTGGCGTCAGTCGAAAATGTAATGTGTTTATTTTGTAGCAAAGGTCATAAATCAGAATCTTGCTCTACATTTAATGCAAATGAACGGAGAGATATATTGAAGCAGCGAGGTCAATGTTTTCGTTGTTTGACCCCAAACCATCGAGTGAAAGAATGTTTGAAAAAGGATTTGTGTCCCATCTGCAGCAAACCTCACCATGTTTCAATTTGTTTTCGAAATCAAAATAATCCACACATTATTTCTCCAAAGGTAGAAACCGATAATGTCGTATCAGCGAATATAGTATCCGCGAAAAGGAATACTATGTTGCAAACATGTTCAACCTTAATTGATAATGGAAAAGAGCAGGAAATTGTTAGAATTTTCCTGGACAATGGTTCACACCGCTCCTTTGTTTTATCAGCTATTTCCAAATGATTTAACTTTCCAGTTGTTAGAAAGGAAAGCCTTTCCATTTGCACATTTGGTGCTAAGGAAACGGAAACAAAATCATTTAATGTAGTTAAACTTAAATTAAAGAATAGAGATGATCCAAATTTATGCATAGAAATTGAAGCACTGGAGACAGACCATATTTCGGGTACACATTTACCGACTCCGGATAAAAATATTGAGAAACAATTTAGACGTTTAAAAAATGTACAACTAGCGGACTGTTATGAATTTAACAATAAAGAAATATCAATACTAATAGGTGCAGATTACTATTATGATATTGTTACTGGTCTAATTACACGCCTAAGCAAAACCCTCGTTGCAGTTGAAACAATACTTGGGTGGTGTTTGCAAGGCCGAAATACGAACTTAAATGAAACGTTTGCAATGAGTGTTATGGTAAACGAATCCAATATTTCCGATCAACTCAAGGAATTTTGGGATTTAGAGAATTTATGTATCGAGGCAGAAGTAGCTGAAATAGAACCCACTGAGAAAGAAATAATGAGTGAATTTGAATCCGGAATTACATATCAAAATAAGCGATACAAAGTGAAACTGACCTGGAAACCAAATATGAAGACATTATTAGAAAATAACGAGCAGATAGCAATGAAAAGATTTTTGAGATTGAAATCATCTTTTAAAAATAACCCGTCCTTATTTTGTGAACATAACACTGTTCTAAAGAATTATCTTTCGGAGAATATTATTGAACCTGTCCCAGTTGATAAAGTAAATTTACGCAAAAATACATTTTATCTACCTCATCGAGCTGTAATACGTACGGATAAGACTACAAGCAAATTACGCATTGTGTTCGATGCTTCGGCGCATGCAAAAGGTCAATTATCTTTGAACGATTGCTTATACACAGGACTTAATTTTATGCCTAACCTATTTCTTCTTTTGACCAGATTTAGAACGAATCCGATAGCATTTGTTGCAGATATTTAAGATACTTTTCTCCAGATTAAAATAGATGAAAGTGAACGAAACTACACCAGATTCTTCTGGGAAGAAGATCCAGGAACTGATGATGAAAACAAGAAATTGGAAATTTTTCGGATGACAAGGGGGTTATTTGGGGTGAGATCTAGCCCGTTACGTTGCAGCCACAATCAAACATCACTTGAAAAGGTACGTAGAATATATTTCCTCTGACTTCTAAGCATCTTAATGAATCATTGTACATCGACGATTTTATTTGTGGGCAAATCACTGTTCAACAGGCTTTAAAGACTTGTAAAGAGAGAGTAGACATTCTAAAAGAGGCAAGCATGTACCTTCGAAAGTGGAGAACCAATTCTCCTGAGCTAAGTAAAGAATTAGAGAATTTACACTTCAATGTAGATCAGGGTGAAGAGTCTCTAGATACAAAATTGATAGCTTCAAAAGTATTGGGTATTGGTTGGGATGAACAAACGGACACGTTTTATTTCGATACCAGAAATCTGGAAACATTTCTTTTAAAATGAACTAACACAAAAAGACACTTACTACAAGCAGTAGGTCGACTTTTCGACCCAGTAGGTTTTATTGGACCGTATAACTATTAGAGCTAAGTACTTGATACAAGAAATTTGGTGTTTAGGATTAGACTGGGATGAAAAATTGTCCAAACAGTTAGAAATTGCTTGGAATAAATGATGCAATAAGATCCAAGATGTAAAGGAAATAATTATTCCCCGATATTATTTTCAAAATTCTTTGCCCAGTCATGCAATCACTATTCAATTACACTGTTTTTCAGATGCATCTAAGAAAGCTTATGGTACTGTTGCGTACTTACGCATAGAATTAAAGAGTGGAAATATCATTTTTAGGTTTGTAGCATCAAAGAGCAGGTAGCTCCGTTAAAAACCCTGTTCGATTCCTAGATTGGAGCTCATGGGTGCACTTTTGTCTTCAAGATTGAGCAATAAAATTGTAACTGCACTATGTTTTCCAGTTACTCGATATTTTTGGACGGATTCCTCAATAGCTTATTACTGGATCAAAGGTGATCCAAATAGACATGAATGTGATGGGGATGTTCGTGAAGAATAGAATAAAAGAAATACAAAAATACAGCAATCCAGAAGAATGGCATCATTGTATAGGAAAGAATAATCCCGCCGATTTGATTTCTAGGGGTTTATCCTTAAGCAAGCTCCAGAATAATCAGCTCTGGTGGCATGGAACCTGTTGGTTGACAATGAATAATACAGCATAGCCATCCTCCTTAGAATCAATGGAAGAAAGCGAAGTAGATGTCGATAAGTTAGAGTTTAAGAAGTCAGTTGTTGTAAATGCAACTGTTGAAAATAGCCAAAATGAAAACGATTTGATCACAAGATACTCCTCATTCAGTAAATTAATTAGGATAACCGCTTTGTGTTTGAGATTTATAAATAATTGTAAAGCAAAACCAGAGTTGAGAACAGACTTCATATGTGCTTCTGAGTTAAGACATGCTACTGAAGTTTTAGTAAAACTCGTACAGTCAACTGAATTTCAAAGGGAAATAAAGTGCTTGAAAAACGGACAATCTATTCCAAAAAATAGTAAATATCATAGCTGAACGTATTTCTTGACAAAAATGAGGTACTGAGAGTAGGACGAAGACTGGAGTATTCTGAGTTTTCTGAATTTCAGAAACATCAGATACTCTTGCCAAAGGTTCACCATTTCACTAATTTAGTTATTGAATATTATCATAGAAAATCCTTACATTCTGGCCTACAGACTATATTATATTTAATAAGACAGTCTTATTGGATACTGTCCGGTAAAGATCGAGTTAGAAGAGTAATAAATAAGTGCATCACTTGCTTTACAACGAAGAATCAAACGGTAAGCCAGATGATGGATAATCTACCTAAGGACAGAGTCGTACCTACTAGACCTTTCGAGAAGGTCGGATTAGATTTCGCAAGACCTATAATCACGAAACCTGATTTGAAAAGGTCAAAGGTGACTTTAAAGTCTTATATTGCATTATTTATCCGTTTTTGCACTAAAGCAGTGCATTTAGAAGTCGTTTCTGAGTTAACAACAGAAGCTTTTCTAGCCTGTTTACGAAGATTTATTGCCAGAAGATCCAAACCAGCCGTTATCTGGAGCGATAACGCCACGAATTTCAAAGGTGCGAGAAATATTCTTAATGCATATAATGACATTTGCAAATCTAACCCAATTCAAGGATTTAGTGCAGAAGAAGGCATCCAATGGAAATTTATCCCACCAGCTTCTCCTCACTTTGGCGGACTGTGGGAAGGAAACATAAAATCAGTGAAACGGATTTTGTTAAGGGTAGCGAAATCAGCTATCATGAATTTTGAAGAGTTAACTACTTTAGTTACTCAGATAGAAGCATTTCTGAATTCCCGTCCATTATCACCACTTTCTTCCGATCCGAATGACTTACAGCCTATAACTCCGGGACATTTTTTAACAGGAAGTGCTATGTTATCCTATCCTGAACCACATACTGCTTCGGATTCTCTTTCTTTTCATTCCAGGTAGGAACTACTTCAGAGACTCCAAAATAAATTCTGGAAGAGGTGGCATTCCGAGTATCTAAATCAACTACAGAATCGTGCCAAATGGAGCAGTTCGCAGCCAAACATGCAGTTTGGTCAACTAGTACTGCTGCATACAACAAGTGAATCCTGGTGCTGATGGTTTGGTCAAAGTAGTTGAAGTTAAAACCTCTACAGGTGTTCTTCGGCGAGCCATCAACAAAATTATTCCTCTGCCATCAAAGACTAAATGAACTTGAAAAACCTTTATTTTATATTTAATAGTTTACCAATTTAATATTTAGTTTAGTGTAATTTTAGTGACTTTAAATTTATTTGAATATCTGGAAACTGAAATGTAAACTGCATGGGAGTTTAAGCGGGGAGAATGGTAAGACCCGCCTAACGCTAGAGGGCGCTGAGAGCGCCATTGAGAGTGTGCTGAGATTCGATGCAGTTGCTCGATGGAAGGTGTGACGCAGTTGTGAGATTCTGAGATTGAGATATTTATATTTAATTAAACCAATTTATATTTTATTGATTGGTGATTATTGATTTTGATTTATTGATATGATATTGATATGTTTTGCTGAACCACCACACTTTCGACAAACTTAGATTACCACTGAACCTCAAAACCACCGATGCGCATATAGTATACCTAATTTAAAGAATAAAGATGTTTATATGAATGGTTAGGTTATTTGTGTACACGAGGGTACACCTTCCTAAGAGTAGGGATCCTTCCGTGGAGGATTTTCTTGGGGAAATTGATTCGTAATTACGTTTACACATGAGAAAAACCACGAAAAACAATCATGCAGCCAAACCGTTCCCCTATGATCGAACTATTATTTAGCAGTCTTAATTATTCTAGTGGTACACATTAATGCACCACCGCTGGTGAGGCCGTACTTACACATTAATAACTTAAGAATAAAAGTGTGTATAATATGTATCTGCACAAACGGGTATTGGAATTTAAGGTGAAAAAAATTCTCTTTGCAATACTTCTATGTCGCGAAATTTTCTTTTTAATGTTTCCTGCATGTTCGCAGTCACCTTACCGACAAATTTATTATCTTTTTATAACGCAATGTATAAAAGTGCTGTTTTGATGTCATCTAGATTAAGTATAAGGGAAACCTTACATAGATTTTTTGTGAGTCTGGTACAGTAAGGAAGAAGAAAAATATATAAGGACTCCTAACTGAATACGAGTAAGAAAACCAGCATATAGCACTCATAACTTTGTTTCAAACAGGCGTTACATCGGTTATTCAGTATTTAGATTACCAGGTATTATTTATCATATATAATAAAGTAAAAGAAAATGCGATATATTAGATATTATATATATATAAAATATAATATAGTACAGGAATAAGTACTCTTACAGTTTCGTATACAAGTAAATAATTTTAGTGATATTATACGTAAATTGTAGTATCTCTTGTATAATGTAATATTTTTGTTTAATGGCTGGACGCTTTATTTAATAGCCATTAGCCTTGCGCTCCTACAAGTGCCAGAAGTGGTGGTCATTTCATTATGGAAGCACCTAATAGGCGTTCACGGTTACCTGCTATGAAGGGATAGTCAGTTAAAAGCATGACTTTTCCGGGATTCAAACCTCAGCCATCGCTACGTCAGTCAGGGTCACTAACCAATGTACCGGCTTACTGGGTGAGCGGTAAAATGTTTTAACGGCTACCTTCTAAAAGGAAATTAAACCTTCTGTCAAGCCGGAGTCGAACCAGCGACCCCAACTGCTGAATAACTGCTACAGTCTACCACTCTGCCAACTGAGCAACCGACAGACAAATAATGTAATATGAAGAGGTTAGGCTATTTAATTACGGCAAAGCCTCGAGGACTATCTGCCTAAGGGAAAGGATGCCTTTGTGAAGGACTTTCTAAGGGAACTGGCTCATATACACGTTACACGTGGGGAAAACCACGAAAACACCCCATGCAGCCAGCCCGTTCGCCGGATTCGAACCTCGGACCGAACTACCAGTGTTCAGCGATTCGGCCATTGGTGGGACCGCAATATGAAAAGCTTCAGAATGGTAAATGTCTATCTCGCCAGCTTGGTGAGAGAGCGCTAATGGTTTTGGCGAGAAACCTTTTTTACCAAATTTGGAGAGAAATCGGAAAAAATTTCCAGGCTTGGCTTAGTTGGGTATGATTCTTGGGTAACTGTAACTATCCGGCACTATGTATCTGTAATTATGCATGCCTTTCAGCAATTTCGAGAAATCGAAGATACTGGAAATTTCTCCGTGGGCGGGAGAAAACTATGCAAGACTTGGAAAACCATGAGTTTTCCGTTTTGTTTCCGAGTACTAAGCTCAAGAGCATTGAGAGATCACCTCGCGAATTTACTCATGTGAGGTTGTTTGCATTACCTTTTGTACAACGTTCTTAGTAGTTTGATGTGGTAACTACTAATTATGCTCTGTAATACTGAGAAGAGCTGTACGAGTACTTTTGCGTAAAAAGTTCCAGAAATGAAAAGTGTTTTCGGAAAAATAATTTTCTTCAAGCTTCCATCAGCTGTGTGCCTTCAAAACATTACGAACCCGTACCACGTAACAATATGTTAGAAAGCGCTAGAGTGCCCCCCCCCAAAAAAAATGGCTCGTTTTTTGTATACTTATTTCTTTTGATAACTTTTGCCAGTTTCATTATCGATTACTTCGTGAAGGATAATATAAGTTGCTAAAATAATGATGCTAATAAAATAATGAATGAAAGGAAATAAGCTAAACCATACAATTCAACAGAAAGAGTAAATATTAAAAAGAAGTACAAGCTTGAGCGAGTTCTTTCCTTGCAAGTTTTTAAAAGAAAAGAAAGTAATCCTTTATTAAAAAGTTAGTTTGTTGGAGGGTGCTGTAACTGAAGCGTTAGTTCTTTCGCTTTTCCTTTGAAACAGAGGCTTAGTTCTAGTACTTCAGAGAAAAATGACAAAAATAATATCACGCCTCTAGTAAAATCAGGAATGGCAGCGTCTTTTCTTACGAAGCCTGTTTTGGAACTCTGGGTAATTACCGTTAAGAAGTCTCCGCATCGGATTTTCAGTTCTCTTTTTCTTTAGCAAAGGACTTTTTTTTGGCGAGAAATCGACATCCGTAGTGCTTTGTAACTTTTAAATATTTTTACACAGGAAGGATTATAAAAATAAGTAATATCCTTATTACTAAAGTATACTTTTTTGGAAAAAGACATTTTTTGTTTGTGAAATTGATAAAAAATTTCTGGAAACAAGTAGTGGGATAAAGAAACAAAAAATAAGCAAAGTTATTCCATTAAATGTTTAAGCGGTAAGTGATTTTTTTCATAAAATTCAGCATTTTGTAAAGTTGTAATACGAAAAATATCCCATCATTTATATATAAAAAACGTAACTTATTAAAAGTCAGTTTTCAGGTGAGAGTTTTGTTAAAAATACTATATGTTTACATTCCATAAAGTGAAATTTTTTAGTATAATTAAAACTAAAAAAAAAAAAAAAAAAAAAAAACCACTCTTTTTCATGGTGGTAATCATTGAAAAAAGAACCGTTGTAGTGCACCCTTTGTAAAGTATAAAAATACATTTGTGAAGTTGCCATCAGATTACCAGCTTCAGTAATTTTTGCACTATTTGTTCACCGGTATCCGCCGAAAACACCGGGACAAAAACATCGTGGACGAAAACGTCGCGAAGTAAGCAACGCAAGGCGAAAACGTAGTGGTACAAAACATCGTGAGAGAAAATAAAGCAAAGAGAAAACGTCGCAGTCCTAAAACATCGTGGCACAAAACATCGTCGTCGAACATAAAGCGGTTCAAAAACTTCTCAATTTAAAAACATCGTCGACGAAAATATCGTGGTAAAAAATAAAGTACTTACAAATTATCGCATGACAATAACATCGCAGACATGCGTTTTTCAGGCTTTAATAACTGTAAAATTTAATAATTGTAAAAACTCGCATATGGGTTTGTGAGCGCAAGATGTAAAGAAGGATAGTTTTTGCTTTCATATTTTTTATTAACTAATAAATATTTGCTGAAAATGTAAAATGGAAAGTAGAGTATAGAAAATTAATGCAATTTATAGCACTTAATAGAAATTCAAACTGACATAGTTAACTAACAAAGGTCATTAATAAAATATTTTTTATAAGTTTTACTGGTAATTTTTCATGAAAGGATCATGCTGACCAAGGAAGAGCATCAACAGCTCGGAGACAGTCCAGAGATATGACAGCCGTATGAGGTCTAGCATTATCCTGTTGGAAAATAGATCCAGGATGGCGTGCCATGAAGGGTAACAGAAAGGCTGCAGAATGTCATCAAAGTATAGTTAAAATGTTAAAGTTATGTAGGATGACTAGGGTTAACCTGCTATAGCACCTCATACCATCACACCAAGGGCCTTTGCGAAACAAAAGCTGAAAGTTACCGTTGGTCCTGGCTCCTCCACACACGGGCTCGACGGTCCCTTACAGATTATGGAATTCCAAGAATGAAGCGGGATTCATCGCCCACCACTATGCGATGCCAAGCTGGCAGCCATGACGATCGGCTACGACACTGATCGGCTACGGCTAGGACTCTGTCGATGTTGTGGGGTAAAAGGCAGACGTCTTAAAGGCCACTGTGGGCAAAACCCCGCCTCAGCCAAACGCCGTGAGATGGTTGAAATAGCCACGGGTAGTATGAAAGAGACTGTAACATGTTGGTTAGCGGACAATGATGCCGTTGGGGAACTTCTTGGCTGTCGTACAATCATCCGATTTTGTCTCGCATTTCGTGCACCCTTCGCCTTCCAGGGTCTTGATTCCGCCGAAGAGTACTTTGTAACAATCATTATTGTTTGGTTCAAGTGGCGGCTTATTGCTCGGTATAACCGGGATACTTCACGCATGCCTACTACGCGACCACGACCGAAGTAGTTTAGAAAGTCTTCGACATTGTCTTAACGACTTTATTGGTTTTGTCTCCAGGGAGT